TTGCCTGAGCCCGCGGGTTCGAGACCCGCCTGGGCAACTTGGCGAGACCTCATCACTACAGTAAATCAAAAATCAGCTGGGTGTGGTAGCGCGTGCCTGTAGTTCCAGCTACTCGGATGGCTGAGGCGGAAGGATCGCCGAAGCCCAGCGGCTCGAGGCTGTGGTGGCCGGGAGCAGCCGCTGCACTCCAGTCTGGGTGACAGAGTGAGACTCCGACTCAAAAAAAAAAAAAAGCAGCAATATATTTGCCCTTAGGTTACTCAGATTTTCAGACAACAGTCTTCTAATCTGCAGTCTATAGAATAAAATCTAAAAGCCAAGATGTTGGCAGGGATAAGACCAGGAGCTCACTGCTTGAAGCATTTAGAGGAGAGTGGGCACATTCAGGGTAGTATGGCTGTTGACTGCTTTCAGCATTCAGAATGCATCCAATCAGACAGCAACATGGCATACTCTAGTCCAGCAGTACTGTTGGGAGAGGGACAGGTGTCTAGCAATAATGACATGCATGTGTGAATGGTGGAACGGAATCCAGTGACCTAACTTGTAAAACTTCTAAAGTTTTTACACTAGTGATCCTGTTTTACCTTTCCTTTACTCTGGTTCCAGAGGTACCTGACACTGCCACTTCCTATACCTTTTGAGGATTCTGTGATATAAACTAGGTTCTCATATTTCTCCCTTGCCACTTTGGGATTTGTCTTTCTTATATCTGCTAAGTCAGTTACCACTGATCCATCTGCTTTATAGATTTAAAATCTGTGTCATTCTTGTTTTCCTTCTGTTCTCCCTGTCTTTGTGGCTTACTGTCTTTAAAAAATGTTAAACATGAAAAAAGCCTTTAATGTATTCTTAGTGGGGTTTCAAGAGATAAATATGTACTTTAATCACCTAAACCTGCAAATCTTGAACCCATATTCTCTTCTATAATATTTTGCATAATTTTTTCCTTATATTTCAAACTATAGCATAATTCAGGTATTTTGTATCTTGTGTTACTCTAACAAATCTATATAACAGTAACAGGATTTTTCTGGGTGTGCCGATAATTCTTCACCTTTCTCGTACTGATTTTCCACAGATAAAGCAAGTCCATTTTCTCTTTCCACCATGAGTACATTCTATATGGCGTTTCAAATTTCCAGTGTCATTAAATTGGCGACCACATATATCACATGGAAAAGGACCTATAAAGGAAAAATAGTGTGCATTTAAAAAGTAGATACTAAGTTAAATTTAATAGTTACGCTATAAGTTTATGCTTGTCACTATTAGTGCCTATGTCATAATATACTGCAATTATTTATTTATAGCTTGCTCTTCTCTTCTAGATGTTTATTCCTAGAAGAGACAGGCTACAATTATATCTATATCCCTAGAGCCGAGTACAGGACTTAGCATCTAATAGACATAAAATAAAACTGACTAAACTAATGAGTTAATAAATTGAAATAGCCAGTCCCTAGTCTGAAATTAAACTGGAACAAAGAAGAAAATACTACATACTAAGTTTCTTGAGAAAGGATGTAATAAGAAACTCTGGAAGAATAATCAGAGGATGTAAAACAGTTCATAGTTTGAAAATATATTGCTAATATATTCCTAATAACAAGTTTTTAGTGTTATTGAGCAGACTGAAAATACTGCAGCACATTCCTGTTTATATACCTGTTCATATTAATATTGACTGGATTTTGAATTTCACTATGATTTTACCAAATAAGCAACTGTAGGGAAGACAATATTCCACTGAATGATAAACCAAAAGGAAGACATAAGATGTGTGAAAAAGAAATATAGTAAATACAGTACAAGGAAGAAATATATTTAAAAGTCAATGTCAAGGAATTTGGAAGGAAAAACTGAAGAAGAAATTCTAATGAATTAATCATACTAGCACAATGGAAAAAAATGCAACTAAGACACTAGAATTCAGAAATGTATCTACAAGCAAAACTGCTTGGTAGCCACAATAGCTTTGAGTAAATTTTGACATGTTTTCCACATTAGAAATGAAAGATGACCTAAAAATGTATACTGTATTGTCTTAACATATTCTCATTTTAAATCTCTAATATTTAATTTTACATCAGATCTGAATCTTCTACTCATTAACTCATTGAACAAGTATTTACTGATTTTTAATTCATGTCAACCCCTATGTTAAGTGCTCTGAAAAATCTATCCACCTCCCCTCAACCAAAAAAAAAAAAAAAAAAGCTCCATGAAGTTGGAAGAGAGTCAGTATTTGCATAACTAAAAATAAATAGATGAAGTAAATAAAATGAACTTATTATGAGAAATGTGTGTTAAATAATGAAATAGCTACTAAAATCCTTCTACAAAAGATACCTGCACACACGTTTACTGCAATACTATTCACAATAGCAAAAATGTAGAACCAACCGTGCTGCCCATCGAAACCTGACTGAATAAAAAAAATGTGGTATATAAACATGATGGAATATTATGCAGCCATAAAGAAGGATAAACATGGACTTCGCAGCAACTTGGATGAATTTAGAGTCAATAATACTCAGTGATCTATCACAGAATCAATGAACTGAGTTCCACATGTTCTCACTTATAAGCAGACCCTGAGCATTTACCATAATAAGAAAGGGACTGGCAGTGGTGAGATACTGCTAGGATGTGGGGGGTGGGTGACACAACATCAGTAAGTGTATCTGATCTCAAACCAGGCAAAGTGGGGACCAAAGGGAGGCACAAACTTTACCTGTACAATGTCCATTTGTATACTTAATCCTGAACTGCTACACACATCTTTAAAATAAAAATATAAATAAATTTAAAAAGAGAACAAGGTCTCACTATGCTGCCTAGGCTGCCCTTGAACTCCTGGGCTCAAGCAATCCTCCTGCCCTCAGCCTCCCAAAGTGCTTGGATTATAGGCATGAGCCACTCACTGTATCTGGCCCTACTAGTATAACTGTTTATAAAATAACAACTATATATATAGCTGAAGGCTCCAGGCAGGCAAAGGAAGAAATAAAGCATTCTCTTTCACGTTCAGTTACTTATCAGAATCATGAGAAAAAATAACAACTACATTTTTCCCTATAGTGGATAGCCAGTTTTTAACTTTTATTTTTGAATTAAAGCTGGGAACTTAAACGAAAGCAGATCTTCATGCCAATTATTTAGATAGAAGAGAATTACAAGATCTGTTTTTTTAAGGTCAAATTATAACATTTACACTGATACAAGGGGGGACTCCCCCCAAAATCAGAATTATTTTTTGAAGAGTGGGCCCCTTGTACAGGCCTTCCCTATTAGGTAAGTGTTCTAGCAGCCCATCAGCATCAGTGTCCAGCTAGCATTGTTATGAGAGATTGCATTCGGCTTCAGGAAATTTTTTTTGGAGATTTTTTCCAACACATTTGCCCATTTCATGAGGGGTGATTTCCAAATGCTCCTGCCCACACTGTGCTGAGTGTTCACCAGTTTTTGACCAAAAAAGGTAAGAGCCCCATGCCTGATCCTCACTGTTCACCTGATCTCAGCCCAAGTGACTTTTGTTTCCCTAGATGAAAAAAGTCCTCAAAGGGAAACGTTTGGTTAATATGGAAGAGTTCAAACAAAACACCAAAAAAGGCCCAAAGTCCTAAAAAGGCATCAGAACTGACAAGTTCAAAAACTGTTCTGAGCAGTGGAAAAAGCATCTTGATAGGTATATTACAACAAAGAGTACCTTGAAGGTGACTGAAGTTTAAATAGGTAAGGATAAATATACAATTTTTTACAAATAAATTCCAAGCTTTTTAATATAGATATACCAGCATATTAAAAATTATTCTCCTTTAACTATTCAGATTGCATTACTTAGATATCTTTCCTTCTGATACAACAGAGTTTATCATCTTAATGTAGACACTATGAGTACAGTATAGCTTTGAATCACCTAAAGCAGCAGTTCTCAAAGTGTGGTATCTAGATCACCTGAACCATCATCACCTGGGAACTTGCTAGAAATTCACATTTTGGGGCCATATCCCACACCTACTGAATCGGATACTCTGGGGAGTCTGTGTTTTAATAAGCTCTCCAGTTGATCATGATACATACCAAATTTAAGCACTCATCTAAATAAATATTTATTTGTCAATATCCATCTTAAATGTGGTAACCAGAAATAAATGTAATTTTCTGGATCAATTCAAAATCAGATGATTATTTCCCTAATTCTGAAAAATTCAGTTTTATTAATATATTTTAAAACTATAATGGTTTTTGTCAATCATATCATATTATTAATTCACATTGTGTCTAAAATGCCTCTGCCATTAACTCCATTGGTAAAATGAGGAGTTTGGATGTACCAATTCACAGTTCTTCAAGACCCAATGGCTAAAAGTCAGATTATTGTCATAAATTTATAACTTTATATTTATTCTCAATTAATTTTAACCTAATTTATTTTGACCTGTTGTACAACATACAAAATTTTCTTTTTTACATATATTTTCTGGTATATTAAATACTCCTGCCAGTTTTATGCCATTATAAATTCATAAACATGAAGTATATGATTTTATCTAAGTTGTCAACAAAAGCAATGACTAGAACAGGGAGAAGATCTCTACCTGGGATGACAATAAATTTATTATTGAATTAAATGTCATACATTTATCAAACTATATTACCATATAGACCACAGTCTCAGTCATAAGCATTAAGAAGATAATTCATCAAATACTATAATGAATTCCAAATATACTAAATTTATTCCATTCCTTGAAAAATGAGTGTTTTCCAAAACAAAAAACCTCATTCCACGCACTCACAAGCCTATCCAAAAATTAAGTGTAAATAAATGCTGTTTATGCCCAATGGCACATATGCCACCAAAAAAACCCAAAATACAAAAACTCCACATATTTACTTTTCTCCAGTAACTACAACATATACAGTGCACCTTCCAATTTATATAACTTCCTTTGCCTAAGCTAATGTAAAGGTTTGCGAAGAGTGGTTCAAGAACCCACCAAAATGAAATTTAAGTATAAATCTAACAAAATATGAGGAAAACTCGACATAAGGAAAACTATAAGACTAATATGAAATAAATCAAATAAGAACTAAATAAATTAAGAGTAAGTCCATAATCATGAACAGGAAGATTCAATACTGTGAAGATGCCAGTTGTTCCCAACTTGATCTACAGAACCAATGCAATCCCAATCGAAATCCCAACAAGTTATTTGTAAATATCAACAAATTGATTCTGAAGTTCATATGGAAAGGCAAAAGAAACAATAGTCAAGAAAAAATTAATGGACAAGAATAAGGTTGAAGGACTGGCACTACTCGACTTTAACACTTACTATAGAGATACAGTAATCAAGACAGTGTGGTATTGAAAAAATAGACAAGCAGATCAATGGAACAGAACAGAAAGCCCGAAACAGACCCACATAAATATGGTCAACTGCTCTTTGACAAAGAAGCAAAGGCAGTACAATACAAATGGTCTAGAACAAATGGACATCCACATGAAAAAATTGAATCAAGATGCAGAACTTACATCCTTTGCAAAAATAAATCACAAACATAAATGTAAAATACAAAACTATAAAACCCCTAGAAAATAATTCAGACAAAAGTCTAGATGATCTTGGGTTTGGCAATGACTTTTTTAGATAAGAAACTAAGGGCACAATCCATGAAAGAAAAAGTAATAAGCTGAACTTTATTAAAATTAAAAATCCCTGCTGTGACAGATTGTCAAGATAATGAAAAGACAAGTTATAGATTGGGAGGAAATACTCTAAAAGAAATATCTGATAAAGAACAATTATCCAAAATATACAAAAAAAACTCTCAAAACTCAACAATAAGAAAATAAACAACTTGTTCTAAAAAGATGATCCAAAGACATAACAGACACCACATCAAAGATATACCAATGGGAGGAAATACTCTAAAAGAAATATCTGATAAAGAACAATTATCCAAAATATACAAAAAAAACTCTCAAAACACAACAATAAGAAAATAAACAACTTGTTTTAAAACGATGATCCAAAGACATAACAGACACCACATCAAAGATATACCAATGGCAAATAAACAAATGAAAAGGTGCTTCTGCCCGGCTCGGTGGCTCAGCCTGTAATCCCGCGCATTTGGGAGGCTGAGGTGAGTGGATTGCCTGAGCCCGCGGGTTCGAGACCCGCCTGGGCAGCGAGACCTCATCTCTACAATAAATCATAAACTAGCCAGGCGTGGTAGCGCGTCCCTGTAATTCCGGCTATTCAGAAGGCTGAGGTGGAAGGATCGCCGGAGCCCAGCAGGTCGAGGCTGCGGTGGCCAGGAGCGGCCACTGCACTCCAGTCCGGGCGACAGAGTGAGACTCCAACTCAAAAAAAAGAAAAGAAAAGGTGCTTCACATCAAATGTCATAGAAGAAATGCAAATTAAATCAATGGGATACCACTACACATCTATTACAATGACCAAAATTCGAACACTGACAACACCAAATGCTGGTGAAGACATGAAGCCAGACACTATTCCTCAATGGTGGGAATGCAAAATGGTACAAACACTTTGAAGACAGTCTGGCTGTCACTTACAAACTAATTTTACTCTTACCAGTTGATCCAGCCTTTGTGCTGCTAGGTATTTACTCAAAGGAGATGAAAACTTACGTCCGCACAAAAACATGCACACAAATGTTCACAGCAATTTTATTCATTTTTATTTTTTGAGTTGGAGTCTCACTCTGTCGCCCAGACTGGAGTGCAGTGGCTGCTCCGGGCCACGGCAGCCTCGACCTGCTGGGCTCCGGCGATCCTTCCGCCTCAGCCTTCCAAGTAGCTGGAACTATAGGCGTGCGCTACTACAACTGGCTAACTTTTGATTTATCGTAGAGATGAGGTCTCGCCAAGTTGCCCAGGCAGGTCTCGAACCGCGGGCTCAGGCAATCCACTCACGCAGCCTCCCAAAGCGTGGGATTACAGGCTGAGCCACCAAGTCCGGCTAATTTTTATTCATAATTGCCAAAATTTGGAAGCACAATGGAATACAGTCCTCCCTCGATATTTGCAAGGACCCTTCCAGGACCCCTGTAGATACCAAAATCTGTGGCTGCTCAAGTCCCTTATATAAAATGATATTTGTATTTGCATATAAGCTATGCACATCCTCCCATACACTTTCAATTATCTTTAGATTACTTATAATACCATATACAATGTAAATATTATGTAAATAGTTGTTAAACCATATAGTTATATTATTTATTATTGTATTGTTATTATTGTATTGTTACATTGTGTTTTTTCTGAGTATTTCTGAAACATAGCTGGTTGAATCTACAGATGCAGAACCTGTGGATATTATTCACACTAAACTAAGTGAAAGAAGCCTATGTGAAAAGGCTACATACTGTATGATTCTAACTATATGACATTTCAGAAAAGGCAAAATTATGGAGATAGTAAAAAGAAAATCAGTGGTTGCTGGGGTCTGGTGTGAGGGAAGATGAAAGGAGGAGCAGAGAGAACTTTTAGGTCAATGAAACTATCATATATGATACTGTATTAATATATGTCATTATAAATTTGTCCAAAACCACAAATGCACAACACCAAGAGAGAAGCCTAATGTAAACTATGAACTTTGTGTGATTATGATGTGTCAGTGCAAGTTCATCAATTGCAATAATTATACCACTTTGGTGGGGAACAATGATAATGAGAGAGGTTGTACATTTATGGAGGCAGAAAGTACATGGGAAATATCTGTAATTTCCTCTCAGTGTTGCTGTGAATCTAAAACTGCTCCAAAAAAGTCCATAAAAAAAAGAGTAGTTCAACATAAGTAGGCTTCTCCAGTATGATGTGATAACCAATAACTGCTGTGACTACTTTAATAAAAACTTGCTTACCCAGATGAAACTTCTCTTGATGCTTTAACCGTGCAAACCGTGATTTGAAATGTTCTTCACAATAGGTACATTTAAAAGGTTTATCTTGAGAATGTAGAATCATATGTTCCTCCAAGTGTGGTCTTCGAGTAAAAGATTTCTTACAAATCTAAATAAAATGCACATAAAACATATGAAAATCTAAATTAAAAGTTAAAATACAAAGCTCATAATGAGAAAAAAAACACATAAATTCAAGTAAAGAGAAATGTCTCCCAATGAAAAACTTACTAAAAGTAATATTGATTGTTCATGAAAAAAAATGCTCTGGAGGAATTATAGAAAGGAACTATTTTAAATTAGTTATAAAGGTAACTGAATTTCACTCTTTACATCTCTAAAAGGGCTACAGAATAATCTTGCTAACTTAATTCTAGCTCAGGATTTCTAAATCCATGAAAAATGTTCTTTAAATTACTTCTATGTTAGGAAAAAAGAAAAGGTTTTATCATTGTTGCCATTTTATTACAAATATGAATAAGAAACCATAGAAAAATAATTTCAAAATTTGTCTTGAAGTGGTCAGAAGAAAGAGACAAAACTTTTAAGGAAATTTGACATACATCAGATTTTTTAAAAGGGGAAAAGGCTGCTGTAGTAACAATCAGCAACAACAATAACAATACAGTACAAATGCTAAGTGATTCATGAATTATTTTACTTAATTTTCACAAGAATCCTATGAGGTAGAAATAATTATCATTATCATCACTTTATAACTAAGGATGATAAAACTTAGTAAGAGGAAGACAACATCTTATGCAGAGTCAAATACTATAATTAATAATTAACTTCAATTTCTAGAAGCTGAAATCATAGAAATGGTGAAAATTTTGCAGTATATATAAATTGAATCCTTGGAGTATAGAAGGTAAAAACGAGAGCTGATGACTCCTTTAAACAAGATTAACCTAAATACTAAAACAAACACGTTAGAAGTATAATAGAATAAACGTATCCACAAATTCTTTGCTACTCCTCCCATTGAAAAATGAAGTCTAATTCCTCACCCCTTAAATTTATCCAGTTGGTAGTGACTTGTTTGACCAAATACAATGTGGTGGAAGTGAAGTTCTGGAACTTCTGAGGCTGGGCCATAAAATGTCTGATAGTTTTTATCTAGGCTTCTTGGAACACACACTCACTCTTTGAACCTAGCTGCTATAAAGGAAGCTCAAGTAGCCTCATGAAAAGATCAAAGTGAAGAAGAATTGAAGTTCCTGGTAAAAAGTTCTTTCTGAGACCCTAAGCCAACAATCAACACCAAGTTTTCAGTCATATGAGTGAGCCACTTTGGAAGTGTCCCCAGATCCCACCAGACCACCCACTAAGCTGAAAACAACCAAGTGATGTCAGTTGACACCATGTGATACAGAAGGATTTTCTAGCAAATCCACGCCCCACATTTGAGTTACTGACACACAAAAGGGTGAGACATACATCAAAATGATTGTTTAAGGCCAATAAGTTTTGAGGTGGTTTATTATACAGCAATAAATACCCAGAAATGGGGGGGAATCTAACATTTTATACTCTGTACAACACTAATGTCAGTTTATGTACATAACTATAAATATATGGTATGGTGACTATAATAAAAACTAGGATTTCCACTTCTTAGTTCCATCATTCAAAAAATAACCTATACAAGGCTTAATTTTTTTTTAAATTAACTTTGTATGAAAAAAAATTCTAAATGAAAGAAAAGCTAAGTTATATTACTTTAAAACCCAATTACCTTACCTTCCCAAAAGGCAACATTACATTTACCTTGGTTGTCTAATACAAATTTAAAACCCTTACATCACATTTCCAACTTTCACTCTTAGTCTTCTTAATGGAAATAAATTCTTGTGCATTTTCAGGATGAAATCTAATAGAGAAAAAGAAAAACATTATTAGGAAAAAGATTATATTAGTTAAATTACTATTCCATATGAATCTGTTGACAGCAATTGCCAGGATCAGGTACTGGTCACAAAGGGATAGGCACATGTGAGCTCTTTATGAATATGGGTAACACTATAATGATAAATGTATATGTATACCTAAGTTTAAATCAAATCATCTTTTAAATATATTCAGGAACCTAGCTATTTAAAAATAATCTGCAAGGTAATTCACCTGATTTTTTCTTTTTTTAGCCCTGACTTTAGTAACTAATTGAGTTAAAGATATAACACTACTAAATATTCTTTATTCGACAAACTTTTACACATCAAAGACTACATAATAGGCCAGGCACAGTGGCTCATGTCTGTAATCCCAGCATGTAATCCCAGGTTGAGGCAGGAGGACTGCTTGAGCCCAGGAGTTTCAGAGCAGCCTAGGTAACAGACTGAGACCTCATCTCTACAAAAAATTTTAAAAAGTAGCCAGGTGTGATAGGGTGTGCCTATAGTCCCAAGCTAGGCAGGAGGATTGCTTGAGCCTGGGAGTTAGAGGCAGCAGTGAGCCATGATCACACTACCGCATTCCAGCCTGGATGAGAGTGAGATCTGTACTCAAAACAAACAAAGCCAACATATGAAAATAAATTTCCTAGGGTTCTAAACCATATATTTCTGAAGATTTACTTGCCAAAACCTAAGACAGAAAACGGGAAAATCAAAATACTGTATCAACTTCCATATTATATATTCTTGTTTCATCATCAAAAACTTCATCTTAATGGCATAAATTAAAAATATGAACAAACTAACATTTGCTGCTCTTTTCTGAATCAATTTCTAAGTCTCTGCAAAATGTTACACGATAAAAGAATTAAAGACAATCACTTGATAGGTGTTCTTAGTTTTCCACATATTTAAATTAAAAGGCACAATAAAGTATATTATGGAAGTAAGATAATACTTGCCTCTTAACATGCTTGGCTAAAGTCTTCTTGCTTGCGTGTAGTTTATTACAATAAGGGCACTTGTGCTCCTTCTTATGAAATTCTGTTTCATTACTGTGCTTCTTTCTGTGAACAGTTAGGTTAGACTTTGTCGAATAGCGCTGGTGACAAATATCACACTCAAAGGGCTTCTCACCTGTGTGAACACGGGTGTGGCTCTCATATTTCCCTTAAAAAAAATTAAATTTAGTATAATTGCTACACTGTGATTAGAATGTGAAAGTTGAATAAAATTTCATGATTTAGCAGCAAACACTATGCATACTCAGATCCACACAAAAAACTAGAAAAAAGTTGACTTAAACTTCTACGTCTGATAAACCTTAAAGACTTATTACCTTGAGCTTAATGCTCAAAGTATACTCTTCCTTAAAAACCTGAATCATTTAATTTTAAAAATTATTCATGTTTACACATTTTAAAAATTATGTGATTTGGGAAAATTTCTGAAAACTCTTGGCAAATTTGCAGAACTTAAGATTTTAAAATGCATTACTTTCATTTACAATTAACCTTTAGCAAAGGATCTACTCATTATTAAGATTTATTTTTTTCATACTTTTATTATGTATACTCCTGGATCCATGTACCTGGAAATGAATTCTGGCTCTTTAAATAGCAAGTTATGTAACCTTGGGCAAATAACTTCTCTATGCCTCAAATCTTCCTCATCTAACAAATTAGAGCCTGGGAAAAGATAAAAAGATTCACCTCTCTAAAAATTAAAATTAAAATAAAAAAATAAGCTGGGCATATTGGTGAGCGCTTGTAGCCCTAGCTACTTGGAAAGCTGACACAGGAGAATCACTTGAGCTCAGGAGTTCAGGGCTGCAGTGAACAGTAATCGACCATTGCACTCAAGTCTGGGCAACAGAATGAGATCCTGTCTTAACAAAAAAAAAAAAAGGAAGGAAAGGGGAAAGGAAGGGGGAAAAGAGGGGAGGAGAGTGAGGAAGGGGAGGAGGGGGAGGGGAGGGGAGGGAGAAAGAAAGGTTGGAATGATAGTATTTACCTTATAGCACTGTTGCAAGAATAAAAAGTTCATACATATAATGCACTTACAACAGTGTCTAATGAATTATGTTATCAATTAGTGTTGTCTATTATTATTACTGTTTAATCTGTGTACTGTAAATGTGCACATCTAGTAGCTTAAGGTAGAAATTTCAATGAAAGATATTTCTAAGCAAAAGCAATAAAAATAAGAAAAAAACACTATCAATATGAAGAGCAACTTTCAACTGAATGCTTTGTTTTTCTGTCTCCTGCAAAATATATGTATAAATAAATTTTTCTTCAGGCTTAAGTGAATATGAAAGTAAGGCATTTCAGTCATGCACTTTAAAAAAGGATAATATATATGTGTGTGTGTGTGTATATATATATTATATAATATAAATATTAGAAAAACATCCTAAATATTCCAAGGACACCATGGGAAAAAAATAATTATTTGTCTGTTAGCAAAATAAATAAATTCACCAATTTATTAGACATATCTATGAATGAATTTAATAAAAAAGTAGTATTATATCATCTAAAAATTAATTATTTTGCACTTATCACATAAAACTGAGGAAAGGAAACCAAGGTATTTTCCATAAGGTATGGAAGAGGATGTCATTTACAGGCAAAGAAAAACAAAAGTATGATTTTTAAAAAAAACCCATTAGTTATTCAGGTATAAACCATAGCAATAATGGTCACTGCATATTTTACATGCATATAGTCAATCAATGTTTGGGCACCTCCTAAATTAGCTGTGTGATCTTAATTAAGCAGTAATTTAACCTCTCTGTACCCGAGTTAGTAACACTTCATGAGAAGTAAATGAGATTAATATATACATAACATTTATAACATGCCAGCACATAATGAGCGCTAATAAATATTAGTCATTATGATCATCACATGGGTTCTAGTCATTATATGGACATGTAGGTATACCTCAAATATAAACATGGATACATATGGCTTATGAATATCCATAATAACAGATTAAATTGAGGTTTCAGGTCTCTAAGAACATAGCAAGAACTTTTGCTTCTTCCTCTTGCCACTGCTAAAATTGCCCAGTCTCTCAGTTCCCTCACTACCACTGCTAGAGCACACTCAACCATTTACACATGCATATACACACCCTACCACTACTATGTCCCCTGCTATGTTCAAAGGATCAGATTTAATACTGGGAAGAGATGAGAGTCACTATATGAAATAAAATTTAAAAAAACTTTTCCTTAATTGTGAAAGTTTTCACATTTCAATGTTTTAAACTATGTAAATAACACATACTCAAGGTTTAAAAAAAAGTAAACAAATGAAAAGTATACGTCTAATTTTTAAATGATTAAACTTATAAAGAATTTTTGGAAGAGGTCTATTCTTAACTGAGGATATTTAATATGAAAGATAACTTATCAGCCTCCTAATTTTTATTCCCAAGTGAACTGTAACAGTACCTTGATAAAAATCTTAAAGAAAAATTTTTCACCAAATCTTTAATTTTCTAGGAAAATGTCTGCTGGAAAGATGTTAAATTAACAATTAGCATTTTCCCTGTATTTAAGGTCAAGAATTTCTTCCTCATTTACAAATAAAAATTAATTTTTTTGTTTCCATTTTCCTACAGACCAGTAGATGTAAAAAGACTTAAGCAAGAAAAAAAAAGTAGGCAAAATTAGATAAACCTAATTTTTTAATCACTTTAAATAAATTCAGCAAAGTCAAAGATGCCAAAAAAAAAACACACAGAAATTTGAATAAGTAGAATAATTGTTTAAAATTATTCATTCAAATTGTGAGCGCATAGGCACTACAGGGCCTGTTATCTCCATGGTTTGAATTTCTGAAAAAGAATAGAAGACACAACTTTTGAAGGAAGAGTGGACTCAGAAGAGCTAGGTATATCTCCAGGAGCTAGTGGAGAAAATAAATGTTAATCCTCAGATAAATTTATCTTTAAATCATTTGGTAAGATGTGAGGAGGATACTTCTCAGCAGAAACAATCAACATCTACATGTTTCTTTACTTTTATGGAATTGGGGATTCAATAATAACATATAAATCAAAATGTCCACTTCAAACTTATCAAAGTTTCAATTAACAAAACTGTATTCCTTCACAGAATATTTAACTACACCCAGGTATTCTTGATTGCCAACAGAAAATACATACCATTAAGAAATTTTATCCACAGCATTTTTCTCAACTGAATCTCAATATGAACTGTGTCTCAAATCAGGAGTCATAAACTAAAGATATTTCACATGAACATTTTTTACTTTACGTAGAATTTATTCCCTTATTTGGGTCATGCAAAATTACCATTGTCAGTTTGTATGTAGTTTTGCTAAGAGAAATATCACCACTTCAGTTTATTATATATTTGATATTGCTAAGTCCTGAATTAGACCTTGAAAGATTCATAAGGCATACTCTAAAGAATAACTAAAATATTTAGCTATAGAGAATTGTGCCATTGTTATAACTACTAAGAACCAAGAGAAATTTCTGTCAGGATGCACTAGTAAATCGCATTTTTATTTAAAAATACAAAACATTTTATTATACTTCTAGAAGAAATTGTGAATTTAATCAAATATTTATTTCTCTGTATAACAAATAAAAAAGATAAATTATCCAAATCTTCTTCCTCACCCCATCTGTCATCTCCCTATTTTTGCCTTTTTACCCACTAGGTTTTTGGTATAAGGTGAAAGGTCAAAGGACTCTTATTTGCATGAGAATTTGCTGAGAAGAGGACAGCTGGTAGCCTAAGGAAAAATATAACTGGATCAGGAGTCTTACTCCAAACAACCACTAAATACATCAGAAAGAATAAAAGATTCAAAGTAAAGGAATCAAATTAGTAGATTACATATTGTAGAGCTAATGGTTCCAGCAGAAGGTCTCAGAGTTTATTCATGTTTTATAAACCCAAGCTGACAAAGCTAAGTTAGAAGCTTAAAAGGAAGCTTAATTGTCTTCTAACAAGGGCAAAGTCAGACACCAACCTCTCAACTTAGTTCAAGTAAACAAGTGTTTACTGAAAACTTATTATTTGAAACAATCTGAGATATCACAAAGAATACTAACCAAGAGTTACATAACAGTCAGGCTCACAATATAATAAGATAAATAAATAACCAAAAATCTGGGAGGTATTTTTAAATCCTATGAAAGGAATGTGGATATTAGGATAAACAGAAGGTGGCCTTTGAACTGTGGTTTTGAATAAACAGGACTTCTGAGAGAGATGATAATGGAAGACATGTAAGACTTATGGATCTTCTTCTACATATTCTTTTCATTATACTCATCACCAGTTCACTTAGTCTATAATTCAACGTAACACAGCTCTAACCTCATTCCACTTTCCACTTATCTTCCTAGTATAAGCCACATTATGCTTCTAGTCCTTTGCTACTTACTTACCCTTGTCTTCCCAGTTTTTCTCTCATCCCTTTTTCCAATTTCTTTCTCCTCACTGAAGCCAGCATGATCTTTCTAAAACTCATAGGCTGTTGTTTTCTTTTCACATTTTTTCCAACAGTTCCCATCACCTATTGGATAAAACCTAAACTCCTCTGGATAGCATAAAATTCATTCAAAAGCTGTCTTCTACTTTCTTGTCCACCCTCATCTCCTGTTATTTTCCTTGTGCTTAAAACCACCCACACCTGAGTAGGTTGGAACACAGCATACTCCAATGCCTTTGCACAAGCTTGGTCCTTCTGTCAGGTAAATTCCTCCCTATCCTTTAAGTCTCAGTTCAAATATGATCTGCTCTGTGAAATCTCTCCTGATTTCCTTAGTTTCAGAAAATTGTGGGAGTCTGAACTTACCCTGATAAGATTATCATTATTGTAATGTGGTTGTATTTTTGCATGTACTCAGTAAATGCTCAGATTTATAAGAGAGAGAATATGTCATTTCATATTTTTTAGTAGTGTTTGGCAGATTAGAAACAATAAATATGTTAGATAAATGAATGAAGAGCTTGCAACAGCTAAATTTTGGTGCAGTAATTTAAGTGATTTGCTAGTATCCCATTTAATCCTCATAATAACGCTTTCCTACCCCATGAGAAGGTACCATTAGCATTATCTTACTTTACTTAAGAGGAAACAGAAGCACAGACAGGTCAAGTAATTGGCACATGACCTGAATTCAAAAAACCCAGGCAGTCTGTTATTACCATAACTCAAGCTTTTTAACTGGTGAAAGAATAAGATATCACTAGATAGATATAGTTAGGTTCGTCTGATGGAGATGAGAAACTACTGTTATGAAAAGCAAGCGGCCCTCAGGGCTAAACAAAAGAGAGGTATAATGTAAAATATATTCAGAAGGGTAGGCTGGAAATAAGCCTCAATGTGACCTATGACTCCCATAATTATCTGAGCTGAACTGGTTAAAAAAAAACAACCTGGAAAATGCCCTTGTCTTAGTCTATCAGCACCTGAATCTTGAACATTGTTTTTTCCAAACCGTGCAGAGAAAACTCTAGTTTCCTGGAACGTTAAAAGAAGTACTACCAAAGTGTCTGGTGGTAAAATGAGCTGGAGAAATGCTAGGTTAAGCAAAATTAGCAGGTTTGTTTACTAGACATTCTAGCAGAGTTAACACAGAATGTGAATTGTATATTGTTTTCCCACTGTAACATTAAAAGAAGTACCTCCAAAGGGTCTTCTGGTAAAACGATTTGAAGAAATGCTAGGTGAAGCAAAATTATCAGGATTCTTTATAGACAATCTGGCAGAGTTAATACAGATTGTGAATTAAATATAGTTTTCCCAGACTTACTTGAACACAGAACCCCTCTCCTATATAGTAGCATCTCACAGGCCTACCGTTCAGTGGGACAGTTTGAGATCTATGTGCTAGACCTACAATGCCATTTGCAACTGACCCCTGCGCACTCATCTCCAAGTCAAACTAGATCAATTAAGGCAGAATATAGAAAGCATGTGCTAAGAGTACGAAGTCTAAGAAGTCTATGGGAAAGATGAAATGTTCTCAGGTATCTCACCCAAAAAAGCTGTTCTCTTCTCTATATATAATCTAACAATATTTGTTTATAGCTCTACAACAGCATTTATCCAACTTGACTTTCACAAGCTACCTGTATATATATGCTCTTCCAATTGACTGAGTTACTCAAGAAGTTATTTTATTCACGTTAGTACAGAGCCTCACAGTTAAAATACTAATTTTATTAAATTGGTCTGTCAAAAGTATCCTGATTCAGACAGAAAAATATTCCAAAAAGCATCATAAAAAGCAAAAAGAAGTTACCACTGTTATGCCAGTATACATATACCATAGCATATTTTGATTTCAAATGAGAACCAACACCCCATAATACCAATTTCTACCAATAACAAAAGTAACTTCATTTTGTAAGAAATAAAGGGATATATAAAACTGTATATGTGACTTTACAGGTCAGACTGCACTAATTATTTTAATCATTATATTTGGTAGATGATATACCACAATATCATAACTTCAATTTACATGGAAATAGCTTAACTGTTGCAATTGGAAACTTCACATTAGAACACTTCATATAAGACACTTCCCAAAATTATTTTACTTAGCAAATATTTGACATCTTGAAATTGAATATGCACTGACAATAAAACTTAAGGTTATGGAGCATATATCATACAATCTCTAATAGAAGAAAAGTTAATTTATTATTATAGTAACAAAGCTTCTCGGCCTTTTGGCTAAAATCAAGTATATAACAACAAAAGAGTACCAGTAAATAGGATACTTCCTGAAGTCTCTACCTACAGTACTAACTTACATTCAGTGCAATTTTATTCATATATATGTAAATCTAATTTAAAATATCCCAATATTAAATAGTGCTGGACACTGGAAAAGTGACTATGTTTATAACTCATATATCACAAGGTACAAGGGAAAATGGTAAACAAATTCTTACACCTAATATAATCTAATTTAATTTTCTTTAATGACTCAAAAATCGTAGTTATCACTGAAATTAAATTGACATAGATCAAAGCTCTATATGATAATTATTGATACTCTGGAGTTTTTCATATCAAACACATGATCTGTCACTGTTGGGACATGAAGAAAACTAAAGGCTATATACATAAATTAATTTCTGAATCATAAATTCAAAGTAACAGGATAAACTACGTATTGATAAACCAAAGTATCCTCCCTACTTTAAACACTCTTTTTAAAAGTTGCTTTCAAAGTTTGGTTTTTAAACATCTTATTTAAAATACCAATGAAAAACAAGTGATTAGAGACAGAAAAGCTTTCTTGTCTTACCTATTCGGTCAAATGTTTTATCACATTTAGGACACTGTAATATTTTTTTGTTACTGTTCTGAATGACTACTGGAGTTAACCCCTCATGAATATTCCCTACAGAATCACCAGCCTCAGGTTCTTCTTCTGCATCATTATGATCTTTTTCGCTTTGTTCTTCAATGTCAGAATATTCATCTGACATTTCCTCCTCTAGCTCATCTTCTTCAGCATTATATTCACTTCCAGGATCCTCAGAATCATTTCTATCTGATTTTTCCTTCTCAAAATTCTCTTGATTCAGATTGTCTGATCCATCATGACTTTCGTGTTCATCATCGCTGGTATCATCAAACTTAACAGGGCACTTCCGATTCCTTTTTGATCTTCTTGCAGAAAAGCTTCTCTCCAACATTTTTAACCCATGTTTTTTCCCTAATAAAAGGGACCTGTGGGTTTTAGCCAAATGATTTTCTAAGGACTTTTTATAACAAAAATGTCTACTACAGAATTTGCACTGATGATTATTTGATAGTCTTCCAGTTAATTCATTTAGTGCTTCTTCTGGTGATGACTTTTCAGTTAGCTCGGGCTGAAAAGTGGCAACATTTTCATTATTTAGCAGCTTTACTGCATCTATGATGTCCAAAAATTTTGCAGCCTCTAAAACAAGAGGTATTTCATATTTGTACACAAAAAATTCTGATGTGTAAAGAAATTCAAGCAAATGCTGAAAAACTGAATGTGTTACGTGATCCAGCGTGACAACATCAGTGCTTGGATTTTTGCTCAAACACGCGTGAAAATAACTACTGCCAACAGCAACGACTACTTTATGAGCACTAAATTCTTTTCCTTCTACTATGATAAGCAAATCACAAAAAGATGGCTGCTTCTGCCTGTCATCGTTTAGATATTTTAGCAAATTCTTATTATACTGCAAAGAACTCAAAAGCTTTCTCTGATCTGGAGATGGAGGAAGTTCCTGATAACAGTTAAGAGCTTCAGGAGTTGGTCTTTCTGTAGAATGAGTATAGGTCACTTGGTCACACTCCACTGCAACATTTCCTTCTGAAGAATCTTTATGATAGCCTAGGTGGATCTTCTCATCAAGATTTGAAGTAAGCCTTCTCCTTTTCTTCATTGCAGTACAGCAATTTCAGAACAAGAAACTTCATAAGTGTCTTAAGAGATGTATAAAGGAAAACTAGATTGTCTTGGCTAACAGCTTCTGGAGGGGCGTGCCCAAGAGTTTCATGGTCTGCAAAGGAGTAAGAACCACGTAAAATAACTCTATGGCAAAGCAATCCATAATCAGCCAACGGCATTCGTCAACTAATTCTTTCTCGATTACAACTAAATTATGATAAAGTCACAACAGCTTACACTCTTTCGTGGGCAAAGATTTCAGGGCGGAGAACAGGGAGGGCCGGGTTAGAAAAGACAGCCAACAAAAGAATCATTTTAAAGGAAGCCAGAGCACACCTTCCAGGCCTGATTCACGAAGAAGGTGGAAATGATAGGGCAGGAAAGGACGAGATCCCCCCGAAATCGTTGACGCTGCAGGCTGAGGGGGTTGCGGGCATGGTTTAGGGTCGCTGGGATGGTGACAATAAGGCCGTGGCGGCCGCGCAATCGGAGTCTCTCTCAGTTCACATGCTTTCCCCGGGCCGGCAAGGCGCAGCTCTTCAGGGCTCGAGAGCGTTCCTCGACCGAAATCGCCCGGTGAGAGACGGTCCCCAGGAGGGGCTAAAAGGAGGAGCGGGGGCAACCAGAGAGGACGCCTGAAGCAAGCCGAAGAGCTGTCCCAGGCCCGGACAGGCGGAGAGCGCGCTTGCAGACGGCGAACCCGCAACCCTTCCCACCCAGTCTCCCACAGATCCATTACCGGGAACCCAGGGCTCCCCCGCTGGCTCCCAGCCGCTGAGCTCCGCTCTGGGCGCACTCGCTCCAGCGCCTACCCACTTCCGGGTCCAGCCCCACCACCCCACCCTCCTCCCCTCCGCACGTTCCCCTCCCGGAGCCTCGCCGCCTCCGCAGCCACCGAACACGTCAACCGCGCGCGCAGCCTCCAGCCGCCGGGAGAGGCCGGCGCGCGGCCCTGCGCGAGCCAATGCGCATGTGCGCGCCTGCTGCTCTACGCATGCTCCGTCGGTTCTCCTCGCTCCTCTGGCGACCCCGGCTACACCCGAAACCCGTTACTCCGGGTTTTCTCGGTGGCTGGGTGGCCTTCTGGGATTGAAACACTGGAGCTTCGCGTCGGGAGGGGCACGGCAGAGGGGAGCGTCGCTGCGGAGTTCGGAAGTCGTGGGCAGAGACAGGAACCGATTTCATCCAAACTGGCGCATTTAATAGTTTGTAATCAGCCAAACCACCACCGCCGGAAATCAGTGCTGGCCAGCATGCACCTGAAAAACCGATGTTGCTCTTGTTGCGTCACTTTTTTTTTTTAATTTAAAAGGCTAAATTTAAACAAGATTGCTGCTAAAAAATTTTCAGAACTGTTTATTGTACACAGAAAAAATAGAAAAATGTTTATGTAAATGTACATCTCGCGGGAGAGGCAAGGAAGCCAAAACAGAAAGCAAAGAAAAATCCACAAGGACGCCGTTTGGAGCCAGTATCCGAGATCTTGCATTTCTAGCAGAGTCCCAGAAGGGGCTGATATCGTGGTCCCAAGATCATATTATGAAGGTCAAAGTCCTAGATCGCGTGATTTTACAAACGTGAGGAAAGTAGGATGAAGGCTGAGACACAATAGGATGGGTGGCCAAACTAGAGAGCCATTCACTCCCATGCACATACAGCTGGATATCTAGAGGGCCACACTCTCAGTGGAAGAACTTCTACAGAGCTGTAACTTCCTCCGACAGAAAGAAGGAGACCTTAGGGAAACTTGCCTGTCTCATATTTTCTCGGGAATTGAAAAATAAAATGTGTCAACCGTTCATGAAAATTCCTAGCAAAAATTCAGACATACATGGATTCCCACAAGTATTCATATCTCCTTTGCATCTCATCCCACAAAAACTAGCCACACTGAAAAGAAAATATAATGTGAAAACAAGATTGTAAAAAAATTGTAAAATCAATAACTACAGCCTGAAGATATTGGAATTACCAGAGACAAAATAAAAGTATATTTAATATATTTAAAGAAATGAAATGATAATGGAAAAGAAAGTAAAATACCAAAAATAACTATGCAGATTAAAGAATAATGTAGAAAGTTATTTTATTAAGTTATCGTTATGTCCTAAGTACTTATATAATTATATAATTACGAGTACTTATTAAATACTAATATTTAATATTAAATCAGCACTGATTTCCGGTAGTGGTTGTTTGGTTGATTATAAACTATTAAATACACCAGTTTGGATGAAATTGGTTCATGTCAATAAGTACTTATTAAACTTATATAAGTTCTGATGAAAACAAAGGTAGACACAAGATAGAAAATAAATAAATCCAAAGAACTATAACAAATGTTAGCAAGAGCAAATAATGAAATAGTAGAGTGTACACTAAAGAAAAACAAAAGATCAAAAATGTGGATATTAGGATATGCAGAATGTGAGAAACTTTTGGCAAGATTTGGTATTGTCAATTTTACATAACTCTTCACAAAATTTGAAATGGGGTGGGAAGGGGACAGGTCACACCTCATTTTATGAGACAAATATAATCATAATACCAAAAACTTGGCAGATACATTGCAAGAGATGACAATTATAGGTCAAGCTCATTTATAAACTTGGGTTAAAAACCCTAAACGCACGTGTGTGTGTGTGTGTGCGTGCGTGCGCATGACCTAGAGACAGATGGAGAGAGATACAACTGAGCTAAATTCAAGTTAGTACAGTAATGCAAAATTTGTTTAACATTTTAAAAAATAGTATAATTCTTCATATTAACAGATTGAAAAATAAAAACTATTTGGCATCCCAATAGATACAGAAAAATATTTGATAAATTTAACACATGATGTTTTTAAAGAAATCTTAAACTAGGAATAGAAAATGTCTTCTTCATATAAGTGGAATCTACCTAAGGGAGGAAGAAAATACAGAACAAATATCATAATGAAATACTGAAAATTTCCACAGAATTTAAGAATGAACCACAAATGTCTTCTATCATCACTTGGCATTTTAATAGAGGCCTTACATGGGAGAAACAAGCATAAAGAAGAATAAAATTATCATCATTTGTTGGAGATGTGTTTAGATATTTAGAAAACTTTTAAAAACCCTATGGATAAATTTTTAGATAAAGTTTCAAGATACACTGTTCAAGTACAAAATAAAATGGTATTTACCTAAACCAGCTGTGATGGCTAATTTTATTTGTCAGCTTGGCTAGGCTATGGTTGCCTAATTGTTTAGTCAAACACCTGTCTAAATGTTGTTGTGAAAGTGTGTTTTATACGTGATTAACAGGCAAATCAGTAGACTGAATAAAATGGTTACCTTCCATATGTGGTAGACTTCATCTGATCAGTTGAAGGCCTTACAAGCGAAGACTGAGGTTTCACAAAGAAGCACAATTATCCCTAAGAGTTCAGCTTAGAAACCCTGCCTGAGTTCTCAACCTGCTGCCCTCAGAATTGACTCAAGACTGGAAAACAACTTTTACCTGAAATTCCAGCCCGTGGTCCAGTCCTAATAATTTCAGACTCGCCAACTCCCAAAATCATGTGAACCAAATCCTTCAAATCTGTCTTTCTGTCTGTCTAGCTATCTAATCTATCCATCTATCCATCCATGCATCCGTCCTTCCATTCATCCATTCTATTGCTTCTGTTTCTCTTAAAAAAAAAAAAAAAAACCTGACTAATCCAACAGCAATGATAAATAGGAAAATAAAATTTAAAAACAATGTCTTTGTAATTCCTTCAATCATGTAGAACTGACATTCATGTCCCTAAGATGCCAGAAGATTTTGTCATAGAAAGTGTCAGGTATAGCAAGAACTCATTACAGAGAAAGCAGAGACAGAAGGTCAAGAAAGGAAACCTCCACACCTCAGATTATCTTTCCAATGTCTTTTGCTTATCTGTCATGATCTTAACATCCTTTAACACGTCATTTTGCAAGTTTATGTCTAAAGATTAAAATGTCTTTATTTACTAAATATCCATTGAGCACGTACCTTGTACCAGGATTATAACAGTTTAAATGAAGTGTCATAAGCATATATTTTCCAATAGCATCAAAATATAAAATACCTGGAAATGAATCTAATAAATTATGTTCAACCATTGTATACAACTTTCTAAATAGTGTCTGGCAAGCTTTTTTTTTTATTTTAAAGGGGTCAGATATGAAATATTTTAGTGTTTTTCTCTATCCTACTTTCTTCTGCATTTTCTTACAACCCTGTAAAAATGTAAAAATTATTTAATTTCACAATCCATACAAAAATAAGCCAGGAGCTGAATTTGGCACATTGATAGCCATTGTTTTCTAACTTCCTCTTCTAAAACACACCTCAGAGAAATTTTTAAAGACTTACATAATTAAAGAATAGATGTTTTAGTCCATTTGTGCTGCTATAACAAAATATCGCAAACTGAGTGATTTATAAGCAATGGAAATTTATTTCTCACAGTTCAGAAGTCTGGGAAGTCCAAGATCAAAGTGCCAGTAGCCAGTGTCTGGTGAGGGTTTTTTTGTTGTTGTTGCTTTTTTGCTGCATCTTCACATGGCAAAAGGAGTGAAAGCTGTGTCCTCATATGGCAAAAGACAGAAGGGCAAAAAAAGGGTGTAAGCTAGTTTCCTCAAGCCCTTTTATATAAGATGGAGCCCTCATGATGATTACTTCCCTAAAGGTCTCCCACCTGTTAATACCACCACAATGCAGATCAAGTTTCAGTACAAGAAATGTAGGAATCATTCAGACCGTTGTACATGCCATATTCATAGACTGGAAAAATCAACATTGTAAAGATGCTAATTGTTCCCAAATTAACCTATAGATTTAAATATATCAACAAATCGAACTTTATCAATCAAAAATGTTTTGTTCAACCGGGCTTGGTGGCTCAGCCTGTAATCCCGCGCCTTTGGGAGGCTGAGGTGAGTGGATGGCCTGAGCCCGCGGTTCGAGACCCGCCTGGGCAGCGAGACCTCATCGCTACAATAAATAAAAAAAATCAGCCGGGCGTGGCAGCGCATGCCTGTAATTCCGGCTACTCGGAAGGCTGAGGCGGAAGGATCGCCGGGGCCCAGCAGGTCGAGGCTGCGGTGGCCGGGAGCGGCCACTGCCCTCCAGTCTGGGCGACAGAGTGAGACTCCAACTCAAAAAAAAAAAAAATGTTTTGTTCAAAAGACAGTGTTAAGAAAGTAAAACGACAAGTCACACATTGAGAAAAGACATTTGACAAACACATATCTGGCAAAGAACAAACATCTAGAATATAAAAAGAACTCTTAATAAATGAGATAAAAATATATATAAAGTGAGCAAAATATTTGAACAGACTTTACAGATGAAGATAAGCACATAGAAAGATTGTCTATATCTTTCATTTGCATCTTAAGAGAGATGAAAATTAGAACCACAATCAGATACCACTATACATCAATTAGAATAACTAAAATTATAAAGACAATACAAAAGTTGATGAAGATGTATATCAACTGAAATTCTCATACAATTTCTTGTGGGTATGTAAAATGGTACAAGAATTTTGGGAAATAGCTGAGCAATTTTCAAAAAACATTAAACTTACACATACCATACAGGCTTATCATTCCATCCTTACCCAAAAGAAATGAAGGCATATATCCACATAATCTTGTATACAAAAGTTCATTACGGTCTTATAGTAGCCAAACACAGAAACAGTTCAAGTGTATAAAAACAGATAACTGGCTAAACAAATTGTATATAATAAAATCTATTACTCAAAAATAAAAAAATTAATGATAAAGTCAACTGCATAAATGA